CATTTCTCGATACTGTTGTCACATAAAAATGAACTATGCTTTTCTTTCTCATGTTTAGGCTATTGTGAACCTCTCTTCATTTCCAAGACCTCAGCCTCTACAGCACTGCATATGAAATAAGGGAAACTCACTGGCATTTTTAGTTTACTCTGGATATGCCCGTTCTTGCCATTTCTTTTATTTGGATACTTAGAATTTCCCATTCACAAGTCCTGAGGTGCCCATCCTCTCAGGACCTTTTTTTTTAAGTAGCAGAGCCCAACACAGGGCCCAAACTCACGACGCTGAGATCAAGAGTCAGATGCTTAACAGACTGAGCCACCCAGGCATCCCTCTCAGGGACCTTTTACCCCCAAGAACGAGACACATGAATTTGCATCAAAGTCCAAGGTGGCAAACTTCCCATAATACTTTAGTCTAACTGTCCATTGTTCCAAAATCTCAACTCAGCCTATTAAAGCCTAGATAAAGCCTTCTAACCCATGACACATTATACCATTAGGAAGCCCTCTAGTTATCAGCATCAGTAAATATGCTCAATTCTCATTATTCACAGCTGTCATGCTAAGTCTCCAAGAACACTGAGTTAATGAACACTGAACCATTGCTCCTAGGAGAAGCACACGGTTAGGTTCCTCTGAGCCACTGGTTGCATTTTTGTCAACTGATCAATACATAGCCTTGTTTTAGGTGTTCTGTTTAAAGACACCTTATGTGATATCTATTACTGATTCACTCACATTGAGTTCATGGCCAACAGCACTATAATTCATGCCTGACTGAAACTTATCTAAGGCACATATTTTCTCCTTGTATTTTTTTCTGAAAGGCACATCACAGCCTCCTTGCTCTTGGGAACACTATGCTGCGGGGGCCACTATAAACACCAAAAACAACAAAAAGCCCCCAAATGAGAAAAATGTGGCACTAAATAGACCACAAGTAGGAGTACAGTGTAAGAGCTGAAACAAGAAGTCAGAGTCTTGCCTTGCCTGACCTCACCTGGGAAGACTCAGATTTTTCACCACTCTGTGCATGTGCAGGGATTCAGGCTTCCAAATAAATTTTAGTAAGTAGATGAAGAAATCCGAGGATGGACTGTATCTGGTTATCAGACCTGAGGCGTTAAGACACAATGCATTCTACAAGGTTTTCCTCCTTTGCGAAGGAGTTGTCATACTGCGTCCCAGGTAGCAAGAATTGTTCTGGTTTCAGCACCTCCCACTTATGCTCCTGCCTGCCTTTCTTACCTTGACAGATCATACTCTCAAGATCTGGCAGCCCAATTTCTTTTTCTTTCTTTCTTTCTTTAATCTTACTTATTTGTCAGAGAGAGCACTAGAGCACAAGCAGGGGGAGCGGCAGGCAGAAGGAGAAGCAGGCTCCCCATAAGGAGCCTGATGCGGGACTCGATTCCTGGACCCTGAGATCATGACCCAAGCCCAAGGCAGAGCTTAACTGACTGAGCCACCCAGGCGTCCCATTGGCAGTCCAATTTCTAAGCAGTTGTTGTTGCTGTAGTTGTTTCAATGTGGTCAGATTCTAAATTGCTACAGACTGTTGGCAGCATTCCCTTTTCTCTCCTATTAGCTCACATATCGACTTCATTACCTTTAGATGGGCTCCCTAAAACAATCACCAATGAGCTTCAGTTATGCACAAACTTAACAAGCAAAAACTTTCTCTCTCAGCAGGTTCTGCAATAGTGTATCTAACACAGGCCAAAACCAGACTTGATATCTTAAGATCACTACAGTGTCATAATTTTAGTTACATTAAAATTTTCCCAATGTTATGTGACTTTTACTTCCTGAATTTACAGCTCGTATTATTTTATGAAGTCATAATCAAAGTTGCAAAGCAACTTTTATGATGGTTATTTTACTTTTCATTCTACTAAGGCAAACTAGAACCCGCACAGCAAAACTACCCAGGAAAGATACTGAGGAAAGACACAAAGTAAAATCTTCCTTGGGATTTGTTTTGGCAACCAGGAGAGGTCAGGAACAAGGCTCCATAAGCAGGTAAGAGGAATTTCCCCTTACAGCACTCTTGTCAAACAGAACATTTGAAAGCGAAAGTTTGGTTTCATAAGGATGGTGTCTGTAAGAAGTGTTAAACTCTTCAGGTAAACTCACAGTTCTAAATCGGTTGGGGGAAGTGGCGATGACTGTCATTAAGAAGCTCTCTCAAATCTTTGAAGACCTTTATAGTAACATAATACAAACTACTTTTCGGAGCACATTATTCCCTGTAATTCTGAACTTCTGTGATGTATTGGGAACAGATACAATTACCTTCTTACAGAGGAAAATCAAATAAAGGTTAAGTAGAAGTAACTTCTTCTGGTCACCAACTTAGTAGGTGACAGAGATTGGACTTAAAGTCAAGTCTGCAGAAATAAGCCAGAGCTGTTTTTACTACAACATTCACAGTTTTGGAATGTAGTCCATAGTTATTTATAGCAGAATTATCTTCTTAATTGTATTTTGTTGGGTCAACATAAAAATTAGTTTGCATTCCCTTCCAAATGGAAAGCAAAAGCAAGCTGCCCCAAAGTGTGACAAAAACAGTGGCAGGGGAAATCAGCCTGGGATTAAAGTTGCATGAAAATTAAATAACAATTTGAGGGGTTTACATCATTTCTACCGTGGGGGACATGATTTTCAGCCAGATGCAACAGAAAACACACAAAAGAAAAAAAAAAACCAACCAATCAACCAACACAAAATTGTGTCTTGAGTATAAAACAAATTTCTGAATAAAGTATTTCTAAACGCATTATTTAAAATTAAGGTACTGAGATTTAGAGATGATAAATAACTTGTTCCAAGATCGTGTCATCGGTACAGCCTTAAGGCACTGACCCCAAAGCTCTCTTTCAACTACCCACGCTATTCCTCACAGTCATGAGCGGCAAGGAGGAAACAATGAACATAACAAGTTAGTGGACTAGAGCAAAGAGTTAAAGTTTGGTATGCTAAAATGGTATGCAAAACTGACCTTCAAATACCAATAGGAAAACTATCTCTTCTTGGTTTTGTCTTTCAATGTTCACAGGAAACAAATGCAAGCCTTCATTCTCGTCAAGGTAGGCTTGGATTTAGAAAAAGATTTGCAAAGTCTACAAACTGGAAGATAGTACCTTTCAAACAGAGGGAGCAACCAGCTGCGATAGAAACTAGAAGAGCCGTCTCCACCGCCGGCTCCCGGGCTGCTGGTTCTTATTAACCACACAGAAGGAAATACAACCAGCAAACATAGAGCACCAATGATCAAAGTGAAACCGATTTTCTTAATCATCTAGCTTAAATACAGGAATATATGCCAGTAAAGTGCATAAAGACTAAGTTAATAGCCCAAGCAAGTACTGTCATCCTAACCTAAGACATTTCACTGTCTCAGTGTCAGGAATCAAAGGAGACTTTAAGCAAAGCAAAAAAAAAAAAAAAAAGGAAAAGACATTTGCGTTTTGGCGAGGCCTGCACTCGGTGCTGGAAGAGTGTGCCGTTTTGTTTTGGGGAGGGGCAGGGAGTATATGAAGAGAAGAGAGAGACCCGTCCCAGCTGCCCATCCTCAGCCCCTTCCCGCAGCCCTGAACCCAGCCCTCCTTTGCCGCTGGCCAGGACCAGGGGTATACAGGGCGCGCCGGGCCCCCTCACCGGCCCCATGCCTCGCACTCCCAGAACTCCTTCCTCGCGGGACGCCCCCCCCCGCCAGGAGCCGGACCTCCCTTCGAAAACCCTGGAGCTTCGGCTCCCACTGGGAGCCTCAAGTTGCCCCGCGAGAACCAGCCGCCTCCTCCCTCCAAGAGGACGCCCTCAGTCCTGCTCCGAGTCAGCCCACCAGGAGTTCCCCCACAGGCCAGCCCTCACGGGCCCTGTTCTCCAGCACTCACCGCTGGGCGGCTCTGGGCTCGCCCGCCTCGGGCCGGCCTGACCCCGCGAGGGACGGGGGCGGGGATGGAGGCAGGGGCGGGGGTGGAGGCGGGACCGCCGAGCGCGCGGGGCGCACTCCGGGGGCGCGCCGACGCACAGGCGCACTCGCGCCCGCGCTCCCGCACCGACTCCCCCTCCGCACACCCACACGCACACGCGGGCGGCGCGCGCCGAGCCGGCTCCGCGGCGGACGCGAGCGCGGAAGCGCGAGGAATCCCTGGAATGAGGCGCCGCCCGCCCTCAGCCGGGCTCTGCCGGGCTCCGCCTGGCCCGCCAGGACACGCCCCCGGACACGCCCCTCCCACCGAGCAGGTGGGCGGCCGAGCCCAGGTGAGCGGGCACGGAGGCGGGGGCGGGGCCTCGCGCGTCGAGGAGAGGCTTGTTTCCCCTCCCCCGCCCGCCGCACGCCCTGCGGCGACGGCTCCCACGTACCCAGCGGGTGCCGACGCGCTCGGGCGGGGAACGGCTGCTGCGGGACTGGAGCCGCGCTGGGCCCCCGGGAGGAGGCGCCAGTCCCCGAGGACTCGAGGACCCGGCATCTCACACATATCTATGCCCCCCAAGGCTCAGCCGGTGGGAACACACCTTCAGCGTACCCGCACAAACGAACCTTTCGTGCGCGCCCAGGTGCCTGCTGCTGTGGGCCAGGCACGTTCCCCACACGCACACAGTGGGCCCACGCACCCGGTGGACACAGCACACGTGACACCGACGTCCAAGGTCGAGCGGTACTCTGCACCCACTGGACCCGCTGCCCCTTCACCGCCACGCGCAGCCAGCAACTGCCAGAGCCTTTGAGCACGACTTGCAGCACCTACGCCGCTCTCGGCTTCAGACCCGCACACGTCCTCTTTTCGAGAAGCAGCCACTGCAAGGGCGTACAGCCCCTCCGGCGCCCGGCGCTCACACCCGGCTCACCCCCGGGACCTCAGCGCACGCGGGAGCCTCCCGCACACCCCGCTCTCCCCGCTCCCCCGGACGCCGACCTGGACCGCTGCCTCACTTTCTCGTTGCCCACACCCCCAAGCCAGACTGCCCAAACGGGCCGGCGGCTACACGTACCTGCAGGTACAGGTCGCACTTGCTCGGGGAAGTATGTGCTCAGGTGCCACTGCGATCAGAACGGCCGCTGCAGTCCGGGGCACTCAGACGCGGCTCGGTTTCCTCCCATTACAGCATTTTACACTCCACCACTCACTCCACTTCACACACACACACACACGCACGCACACTCACGCCCCAGGCGCCCTGCAGCGTCTTTCCTCCCCTCTCCCTCGCCCGGAGGAGGAAGTCCTAGTAAATGAAAACAGTGTGGAAGGGAGGGAGCAGAGGAGGAAGGGAGGGAGGTCGGAGTGGAAAGAGCCCCCTCCAGCCGCTCACACAGCAGTGTTTGCTGTGCTTGGCAAACTCCAGGAGTCCACAACCCGGGCTGCTCTGAAATGTGCCCGGGGAGGGGCAGAGGGGAGGAGGTGAAACATTTCTAATTGGTGCAGGTTCTTATTACAGCAGCAGCGTAGACATGTGACCACGAAAAGAAAAACCCTGTCTTTAATTTTTTTCCTGTCATTCTCTAGAGATTTGGTGGGGGGGTAAGAGGGGTGGAGGCCTGATACTCCAGTCTCCGGCAGCCCTTGCCCCATTGTTTTCTCGTACTGCCACAATTAAGAAAACATTTGCTTAACATATCCAGCCGCTAGCTTCATAAAATAAATAGTCAGAGACTGGACTTCCTCTGGTTTGCTTTAAATGGCTTCATGTTGCTCGCCTTCTGGCTGTTCTCAAACTTCGGTCGTTATTAGGAGCTCCTACTATAGGGCTTTCCCTGGGAGAAGACTCTGCTGAGAGGCAATGATAACAATGAAAAGAAATACCAGCTTACATTAATGCTGGGGGCAGGGGAAGGGGAAGGGGATGCATTGCAGTTTTCAAACTGTTTTCCCCTCTATTACCTCATCCGATCATATCAAGTCACAGCATATTACCTCATTTGATCTTACCCCTGTTGGGTAGCAGGACAGGTATTAATAGTTCCATTTTACAGCCAGACTAGATGTTTTACCTAAAGCAGGTAGAGGTGTTGCCTGCACCAGAGCATGGGTCTTATGGCCCCTTGTAAAATACACTTCTCCAGGCCACACAGGATCACTGTAAATGGGAACCCAAGTGACAAGTCAACCCCTGGTTTCCCAGTCCCCAGATTAAAATTCACAGATTAAAGCTGGGAAGGCTCCCAGTCTTCCCAAAGATATTTTTACTTAGACTCCGTGTTAGTTCATCAGTAGTCTCAGAGTAGGAGGGGAAAAAAAAAAAAAAAAACCCACCCTGAAAAGATCATAAAGAGGAGGTTTTCATCCTGCCAAGTTAGGGCAGGGCATGGGGAAAGAATGAGGGCTGCATGGGCAGATTTCAGGAAATGTGGCAAGACAGAAAAAGGGCTTTGGGTTTGGACAGACATGGATTTGAATCCAAAGTCTATCTGTGTTTGTTACAGGATTTGGGGCATGTCATCAAGCTCAGTGTTCTCATCTGTAAAACAGATAATTCTTGCCTTGAAGATCCATTGCAGGGACCGAGGATTAGGCAGAATATTGGATGAATACTTACATCTTTCTCCTTTCTCTTCCTACCTTAAATCCAGTCCTGCTGTGGCACCTTATAAACAGACACCCACTTTAATACGGGGGGATGGGAAAATACTTTGCCCAGATAATGCAAATGAATAATGATAGCAATAATAATACAACTACACATTTATAAAATGGCTTTGGGGTTTATAAAGTGTTCCCACATATCATTATCTCATTTGATTTTTATGACAATTCTGCCATTTGTATGCTGCTAAATGATTTCCATTTGGGGTCAGTGTGGAGGTCCTAAAGCTGCCTCTTTAATTTCCATCACTGCTCAGCGCAAACCTTACTCTGCAGATAAATCATGGGGACAGAGGGCCTTTTCTCATGGATGTGACCGGTCTTCGACCTTTCCAAGAATTAATCTCACTGCTTCCCTTACATCAGCATTAGTGTGACTTCGCTCTGGCAACATCTAAGCATGGTTGTTTTAGCCTGGCTGTTTTCGTTGTGCAGAAGAAAGACACACTCAAGTTATCCTAAGAAAAAGGGGGTGTGTCTTCAAGATGTAGGTGGACCGGAACTGGAACATGTCAGATACATAGACTATTCACATAATGGGATAGTAGCAGCCTAAATAAATGACTTATGCTAATATGTAACAATAGGGATGAATCTTTTTTTAAAAAAAGATTTATTTATTTATCTGAAAGAGAGAGAAATCACGAGTGGGAGGGGCAGAGGGAGAGGGAGAGAGAATCTCAAGCAGACTCCATGCTGAGTGGATCTCACAACCCTGAGATCAGGACCTGAGCCAAGTCCATGGCTCAACCGACCGTGCCACCCAGGTGCCCCAATAGGGATGAGTCTTGACAATATTAGGTGAAAAAAGTAAGTCCCAAAAGATTACATACAGCATAATATCCTATTTGTAATGTTGCAAATAAAATGAAAAAGAATTGTAGGAGTACATACACCTGCAATACACCTGCAATAACACCTGCTACCCAACAGGGGCTAATACAAAAGAAATAAGGGGATGATGACCAGAGGATTCAGAATGGTAATTACCTAGGGAGGGGACTGCATTGGATGGGTGGGAGAGGCCATTGGTTAGATGGAGGTTATCGGCAAGCTCCTCATCTTTGGGTGGTGGATTCACAGGTTCACTATTAAAAATAACCACTTAAATGATGGTTGCACAACAATGTGAATGCCACTGAACCACACACTTAAAAATGGTTAAAATAGTAAATTTTATGTTATGTATATTTTAGCATAATTTAAAAAAAACAAATTGGACAACTTTCTAAAAACAAATTAGGCAACTTTCTAAAAACAAAACAAAACAAAAAAAACTGCTGAAGTAGCTAACTGAAAAAACAAAGATAGGTTGTACATGGACCATAATGAGAATGTGCTGCAAACCAAGGATTTTATAAATGCACCAGAAATTTATTTATTTTTTAAGTAAACTCCATACCCAATGTGGGGCTTTAACTCAGGACCCTGAGACTAAGAATCGCATGCTCTACCAACTGAACCAGGCAGGCGCCTGCAGAAATTTTTTTTTAAGATTTATTTATTTATTTTGGAGGGGGCAGGTGAGCAAGGTGGGGGGGGCAGAGGGAGAGGGAGAGAATCCTCAAACAGACTCCCCACTGAGTACAGAGCCCAAGGCAGGGCTCTATCTCATGACCCTGAGATCATGACCTGAGCCAAAATCAACAGTCAAATGCTTAACCAACTGAGCCACCCAGGTGCCCTGAGAAATTTATTTTTTTTTTAAAGAATGAAAATAATCCAGGAGGTAGGTGAGCGGAGGTTGAGAAAAAACAAAATTTGCCCTGAATTGATCATGGTTGAAGCCAAGTGATGGGTATGGGCAGTTTTTTATACTGTTCTGTCTACTCTTGCCTGTGTTTGAAATTTTTATATTAAAACATTAAAAAATTAAAAGGAAAAGAAAATGCCAAGGACCGAAAAGAGACTCTGTGGACTATTATCCTGCCTCCTCCACAGGCCACAGTATCACTGGCCTGTCCTCCTGTTTCTCTGTGCCGCTCCCCTGTTTAATTCCTTCTCATCCCTCCACCAAGGAGCTTCCTAGTCACTTTGGCTCCTACTTTGTCCCTACTGCTCCTTTTGAATTTTGCTCCCCTGGTAATGGACTCCCTTTGTATCTTCATAGTTCAAATTGTTCATAGAGACAACCTGATTCTTCTCTTTCTACTCATCCATAGAAATGGCATCAATCTGATCTACCTTGAAGTGGAGTGTCCGTGAGGATCTGTGAGGGCCTGTGACATCGGGCACAGTCCAGCGAGGAGAAAGGATAGGGTAAGGGAGAGTGGGAACTACAGGATATATAACACAGCTGTCAGCAAGTGAAGGTGGGGAGGCACCAAGACTCTGACCAATGCAACACTTTGAAAGGCCCTCAGGAGTTCAGTCAGGCGAGAATAAGTCCTTTGCTTTTCCATTTGCTCCTTACAATTTGTTGAGGCTCTCCAATGACTCAGTATTGTAAAAACAGGGTTTTTTCCCCACACCAAATTCTCAACAAGTAGGTTATTTTCCAATATGTCCTCCCATGTCATACTTCCAAGAGGGAAATTGGGGAAACACCAAGATGGCTGCCAAACTGAAATGCTCATAGTGCATAGAGACTCATTAATCTTCTCAGTGCATTAACCTGCTGAGGAAGAATGTTCTTTTCTACCCCATGGCCCTTTGCTTGTAATGTGCTCACAGGAATTTCTTCTGCTCTCTTCTCTTCACACCAAATTGTTCCACAAAGAGCACTGAGGAGACAGAAGATATGGTTTCTCATTCAGAAGATGTGTGTTCTCTAGGTGACAGTGTGAGCCCACGAAAGTCATTTTACACCTATGGGTCTAAGTCTCCACATCTGTAAAGAGCTTAGATCAGATCAGGTTTGGCAAACAGGTGTCATCTTGAGCATCAGCTCTGTCTGGAGTCCTCTCTTGAGAAGGACTCTGAAGCCACAACTGAGGTTCAGTGAAAAAAGAAGTGTCAGGATTGATTAGTAATGTCTGCTGAGGGCAGGGTATAGGAACTGGTGTACTGGTGTTTGCCATTTCTGATTAGAGGAGCTCTAAAAATTCCTTCTAGCTATAACTCCTCTTTTCTCACTGAGTGGGAACAGGTGAACTTCTCCTTTTCCAGAGGCCAAAGTAACCAGTGGAAAAACTCAAATGATCTTATTTCACTGCAAGAATACAGAATAAGAAATTATCTAAAGTAATAATGAAACCTAACATTTAGGGCGCCTGGGTGGCTCAGTTGGTTAATCAACTGCCTTCAGCTCAGGTCATGATCCCGGAGTCCCGGGATCAAGTCCTGCATCGGGCTCCCTGCTCAGCGGGGAGTCTGCTTCTCCCTCTGACCCTCCCCCCTCTCATGCTCTCTTTCTCATTCTCTCTCTCTCAAATAAGTAAATAAAATCTTTAAAAAAATAAAAAAATAATAATGATACCTAACATTTAATAAGCACTTACTGTGGTCTGGACACTGTTCTAAGTGCTTTAAAACAATTATCTAGTTTAAGGCTCACAACAGCCCTATGAGGTAGGGACTGTAACTATCCTATTGAAGCTAATGAAGAAACTG